CTACCGCGTTTCACCTCCTGACTCTTCCCAACCTCCCCTCGCACCAACTCCTACCTCCGTAACACCCCGTAACACTCTCCCGCACTCTATCATACCTCGTAACTACCGCGTTTCACCTCCTGACTCTTCCCAACCTCCCCTCGCACCATGCCTTGTCTTCCAAACACTACCCAAATATCGTATCTCCTACTTTGAGCACAACCCTACCCTTCACAACCCTCCGACTATCCACCCGCACCCTCCCAACATGATCGAACTCCTGATCCTATGCAAACACTCTATCGTGAACCCTATATAAGTAATACAATTTTTGTCATAGTTACTCTTTCCATATACTCGTCAGTATTATAGCTTCGATTGATGCACCAAGTCATCAATGCATTGTCAGTTAATGCAATGTACGTACAATGCATTGTCTGTGCAATGCGTCGACCGGGCAACGCATTGATTATGCAATGCATTGATTGTGCAATGCGTCGACCGTGCAATGCGTCGACCGGGCGATGCATTGATTGTGCAATGCATTGACCGTGCAATGCATTGTTGGGACAATACAACGAGTGCGCAATGCATCGTCCGCGCAATGCACCAACGATATGATGCACCGCATCTATGATGCATCAATCGTCTAATGTGCTAACCGTTCCATGCATCTGCAACTAAGTGCAATGGAAGCGCAAGACGTAGACGCACGATGTGTCCACCCCCGTACGCATTGACGTCTGGATGTAATAGTCTGGTGACATGTCGATTATCACATATGTTGGTCCAAAGATCTATTGATGATTTCATGCGTTGATTATCTGCTGCATCATTGGCTGCACTCATCGATAATGCGACGCGTCATTTGTGGCACGTGTTGTGCTTCGCATCGATTGCACGGTCGTTCGCGCGCAATGTGTCAGCTTGTCCCTTGTCTCAAACTACCACTTCGCAATATGTCCGCTCATGTAAAGCCTTGCGCGCGCTGTGGGGAGGGCATACGGAAGCAAGACAAAAAGCATTATGACAGTTGTCTTGAAAACCTTCGACTTGCGATGGACTCTGGTGAACTGCTTCGTGTCTGCCTCTCTAAGCGTAATCAACAAGGGTCCGCTACCCACGTCCTTGGATTTCGATGCATGATGCGATGTGGTGATCGGGTTTGTGACGCGATATATGGACGCCTGAGCCGACTCAAGAAGCACATACGCGATGACCATAATAACTCGACAGTGGAATGGATTGACGAGGTGCAGGTTCAGGTGCGCATGAACCCGCTGTATCACATATCAAATCTGATCTCCGTTAGTGTACGAAACTCTCTCTTATCGGCATATATGCATCGCGCATGGCATTCGCAAACGGTTTGGACCTTGAACATGAAAAGGTCCGTTACAAGGCGGTATCTCTTCATGCGATCTTTGGGCCATCTAACTGGACTTCTCAGATACAAGACATATCTTCCGACGAAGCCTTTGTAAGTCTCTGCAATGTGTCCATGACGATGCGAGGCCAGAATGTCATATACGCGCACTAGCTACCACGGCATATGATGCCCCATACGGATCGCCAAACGCCACCTGGTACCCAGGAGACAAGCCGTGATGGAGACAGACATCAGAGTCCATCGGAGACATCTGAGGTGCGTGCATGTATATGATGCGCCAGCATTCAGTCGGTAATGGGGTATCCAGCCTATCGGCGCATTGCCTCGTACCCCGGATCGCACGTCTGCAAGACCCTTGGCGGAGCTTTCACCCATTCATGCAAATGTGTCACCATTCGGATCTCCTCAGTCGGATATCAGCATGCGGTCGGTATCTCCTGTCCGCCAACGTGCCCTTACACTACATGTAAGTAGAGGACATGCGTGTGGAAACTGCTACTCAACTAATCGCTGTTTTTGCAGATCGAAACAATCAACGCCTCGCCCATCACACGCATGCCCACATCGCATGGAACGCAAACTACAGAACCAATGCGCAGTGCGAACACCCCGACTCCCTCACCCGTTGCAGACGATGCATCATCAAGTTCCGTTCAGTCTTGCCACAGTCCGCCTCTCTATACGGATATATCACCAGCGGAATGTGTGCAAAAGGGAGAGGTACGGATATGTATCACTTCATGTAGAGAGCGATGGTGACGATCTCCAGTTTCTAACTCATCCGCTCTTGGACGAGGTCGGACTCGTTGTGCAGACAAGATTGCAACGCTTTCTATGCGTCCAGCATGAATGTATCGTTCCCGTGGACCGCGTTCTTGGGCATCTTGCTTGGGGACACAAGCACCTGTTGCGCAAGCCATCACAGGACGTTGTCAATGCATGGGCGGATGATTTGGGTTTAGATATTCACGCTGGCCTACCACCGTTTCCAACCGAGGAGGTTGCTGAGTACGAGGGCTTGTTGAAGATGGATGACGGACTTCTTTGTCCTGTTACCAGCTGTCCCAAAGGGTTTCAGGACCGGGCTAGCTTACGCACGCACTGTAACGCAGTGCACAAGGGTAGTCGTGTTCGACTCGATCTGGCGGAGACGGTCTCGCTTCAACGGTTTGCACCTGGACTTGGTTCCGCAAAGTCATGGTTCCGGGTCTATGATGCGGCGACACGCTCATCCGATGCGGACATACATGCGTTTATTACGCGAGTCGTTGCCGAAACGGAGGCCGCGTCTGAGCTACCAGTAGAGGAGTACGATACCCGCAATGTTGAGCCGTGGCACCGCTTTACACGGTGGCCGTCTGCTCTGAAGGGGTTTACCATGCAGGACATCGAAACACTCATTGGCCCCACGCAGGAGGGCGAACCATATTCTGCATTGCAAGGACTGCTACTGGATCTGTTCCGTGACGCTGCTCTCCTTATAAGTGAGACCCATGAGTCCGCATTGTGCCAACTCAACACTCCCGATCCAGAGCGGTACGTAGCTTCTAGTGATCATTCTTTTGCAATCAAGAGAGCTGAAGACCGTCTGTAGTGGCGAAAACCACACTCCGTTTGGGAACCACCAGACGCGTACCACTCTTGACAGCTATACGCATATCGTGTTGAAGCTCGTTACCGTCGCATTGCGTACACATGCAAACTCCGTCTGTCCTGTCGACAAAGTGAACAAATCACGCTACTTAGGCCTTCGTCTGGAGCTTCCAACGCCGATCCACAATCTTGTAGAGGCACTTGATAACACCCTTCGCGACGATGTTCTAGACAGCGCACAGGCCATCGAGGACTGCCATAACTTACTCCTTGCGCTGTGGACTCATGAATGGCTACCTACCCGTGGTGTGGTGGAGCCGGATCCCACTGTTCTGGTCATTGCCATGGCGTCAATGCGCAGGACGGGCGAGTTTGCAACACCGCACCAGACTACGGGGCTATTCGCACGGGTTATGAATCTACAGGTTCGTAGACACATTGGGCGAGTGATGTAATACTGACGTTTGAACATGGTAGCGTTATCTAGTTGTGCGCGACGCTCATCGCAATGCGGTCGGCACAGGCCATGCATACGTACGCTCGGTCATTGCGAATGTTGTGTCTCTCGCTCCCTGCTATCGCGTCGCCCATCTGTGTACATTTCGCACCATGCAGCGCTACATGCACTATGGAGCGTATCTTGCGTTCTGCAGTCCGTCCATGCCGCACCTGACCTGGGACGTCGAAGGAGAGCGCATGTACTACAAGGGCACCCTCATCACATTTGAGCATCAGCGCGAGATGAGGCAGCGAAACCAGGACGAGGCCGTCGCCCTTTACGAAGAACTTCGCATGGGACTCGATGCCTACTTCCAGCACGGCTTGCTCGAAGACGATCCATCGAACACAGAGCCTGGGTACAACTTCAAGCGTAACGCACGCAATCGACATCTGTTTCAACGGAAGCACATACTCTTAACCCTCATTCTGGAGTCTCCTACACTTCGGAAGCGCTTCGTACACATTGGCCCTGATGGGCATGAGACGTGGCTCCCTGGTCCACTTCTCAAGTGGCTTATCGACTATGCCGCTTTCCACCTTCGTCTACTTCTTGCAACAGAGCTTAACACTGCTGGTCCGGCTCGAGGATCGGAGTTGACTTGTCTGGAACTCATCAACACTCGGACAGCGCCACGAAGTGTATACGTGCTAGGTCGTAACGTCGTCTTTCGAAGGCGATATCACAAGCTTCAATCGCGAACGGGCCTGGACAAGGCAATTCCCGAACCCCTTGATGCGTGCTCTTCGCATCTTCTCATTCAAGACATGTGCGTCCTTCGGGATTTTGCAATCTTTGCAGCCAGCAAGTTGTATGGACGTGACCCGCACATCATGCATCTCTTCAAGACTGCGGTCTTTGTCAATGTCACCAAGCGCTTCACTACAGACAATCTCTCCGAGGGTATCAAAGCGCTAACTCGCATTGTCATTGGTCGCGAGTTTGGCGTGCGTGACAATCGGCATCAGCAGATTGGCTTCATGCGTTATCGTAGCCCGCAAATGGCCGCTCTGCAAGCACCCGAAGATCCAGAGGGTATCGACATTGAGGCTGAAGCGGCTGGCCATTCCCATCGCGTTCACATGGGCTATGGCGTTGCATCGAACGTGTACAGGGGTTTACAGGAGGACCTAACACCTGAGTTTGTACGGAGAGCAATGGACTACCAGAGAGACCACCATCTCGTTCCAGGTACGCATTGCTATGTATATGCGCCGCCCAGTGCATCAATCACTTATGTAATATTGTCTAGGAAATTTGTGGAGTACGGTGGAAGAGTCTCGCTACATCCATTTCGACAAGTCCACTGCACCCCAATCGCAGTCGCAATTTGCGAGCAAGCTTGAAGCACGCATGGATCGTATCGTGAAGGCCAACGAGCACGAGACCAGACTTTGGATGGAGGACTCCAACAAAAAGCTGTTACGCGCGTATCACCTCGAGATGCGGAGCGTCGCACCTCAGATGTTGCCATCGCGTCCGCAAGGGGCTCCAAGTGCGCGGGCGCGGGGGAATGAAGCGCATGATGCATGGCAGGAGACCGAGGTATTCCCTCCACTTCCAGAAGCGGCCACGGACGGTCAAACAGATACGCACAACGGTGTGCAAGGTATTACACCTTTTCTCGACCCATAGCATATGTCCAAATTCTGACTTGATTTGCAGATAACAACCCGCAACCCATCGCAGAGCATGGAGCTCAAGGAACGCGTACTGTCCCACCAAGGGCACCAATTTCCGTCCATCGTGCCCACCCAATTCCGTCACCTCAGACAGCTCCGAATACACTCCCACCACGGCCTCAGAATCGCTTCGTCCACGATGCAGCTAGCGTATCCGGAACGCCAGTCGCATTCGTACCATCGCAGGACATTACTGCATCTGCAGTCCGCTACGTACCAGCCGCATTACCACCTACAGCGCACCCGGCGAGCGCTCTGACTGGTATGTTTGTTGTTCATACATTATAGAGTGTCCCTCACCGCGATGCACATAGTTGATCCTAGGGATCTTGAGGCCGCTGCTCGTAGAGTTCTGGGACGTCTTGTCAACCCCAATGCACCTCATGCAGTCCTTTGGCGTTCGGACGGTCAGAGGCAGGCCATAATGGAATGTCTCGCATACGCCCGTGATGCACTCTTCATCTTGGCTACGGGTAGTGGCAAGACCTGGGTGCCTGTCGTCGCTGCATTGCTTGAGCAGCATTCGTTGACGATCATTGCTGTTCCCTTGAACGCCATTTACACCAGCACCCGCAATATGCTTGCACAAGCCCATGTGCAATGTATGCAGGAGTGGCAGACCGGCGATCCAATACGCAATTCGGCACGCATGGTTCTCATCACATATGACCGCGCCAATAGTCATGAGTTTCGAATCGCTCTTTCAGATGCTGTTCGCGTGGAGCGTTATATTCGCATACGACTTGCTCTCGATGAAGCGCAGATGGCCGTCACGGATGGCCAGTACAGGCCCACCCTATTGAACATTCGAGAGCTTCGTGGGATTGCGGAGATGCAGGTCATCGCACTCAGCGGTACTATCCCTCCTACATCCGAACCTGAGGTTAAGAATCTACTTGGTCTTCATCCCCATGCGACTACGATTGTCCGCACAACGACCAACCGGCCCGAGCTTGCATTCTTCGTTACCCGTGCCATGAAGGACCTTTCTGAGACGATACGCAACATCACCCAGATGTGGGAGCAGATGTGTACCGGTGGTCTTGCGCGCAGCGATCATCACCTCGCCATCATCTTCGTACAGACGGGTGACAATGGGGAGGAAGCGCAGACGCTACTGGCGGCTCTTGGGTACACTGCCGAGTTCTACCATGGTGCCGCTGCGAGTAGAGGGCGGCCATTGACCGACAGGGAACGCGGTGAGATGCTAGACCGGTGGATCGACGCCAAGAACCCTTCTCCATTCATTCTGGCCACGCCTGCACTTGGTGCTGGCTACCACAACCCTCGCATCATTGCGACCTTCCATGCGGGACTAGCCGACGGTGTTGTCTCACTTCTCCAGCAAATGTCCAGAGCTGGTCGCGATGGGCAACCAGCATTCGCATTCGCATTACCCTCCGTCCATGACGCGTCGCACTATGTTGAGCGTACTCGGTTAGATCATCGTGGAAAGAACGCCCTCCTCGATCTGATCTTCAAAGACAAGATGGTCTGTCTGCGCAAAGCCCTCTTTGACTTTGTCGACGGGCTTGGACATGGCCAGGTCTGCACGGACAATGCATTTAACGCTCGGTGTTCGCGATGTGTCGATGGCGGACGGTTGAGGGACATGCTGCCACCTGAACGTGCGGCAGATGCGCCAATCCAGTCAGTCATTGTTCGCAGTGAGGGTAGACCTCTCAAGCGCGATGCATCACGCATGCACTCTCAACCGATTGGCCTGCACGAGCGCACTGCAACCCAGGATCCGGAGACCGGGGAGCCCTTAAATCCGTTCAGCGTCAGGGCCTTTGCAGAGAAGCAGATTGAAGAGCAGGCCCGTCAGGCGAACCGCATTGACATTGAACGCGTTGAGTGGCAGCCTGTGATTGAGACGCTGGACTGTTTCACTGGCGTCTGTCCTTTGTGCATGATGCATAATCCCAGAGCGGCTGCACGCCCTATCTGCCACAAGGACGTCATTGATTGCCCTCATCTCCGCATGTCAACCCATTCGTTCTCAGGCTTTCGCAAAGGGATTCAGTTCCCAAAAAAGAAACCGAAGATGGAGCCTCCGTATTGCTTCACCTGCTACCTTCCAAATGTGGATGCAATTCCTCACCCCGCGTACCAGCGCGGTGTTCGAAAATGCCCGCACAAAGACAAGGTTGCGCCAGCAATATTTGCAGCATGGTCAAACCCTGACTGGCGAGCACCGTTGCTTACCGCCTTCCCGGATGCGCCTCAGGGAACGGATGCCGCGTCATTTGCAGCCTGGCTTGTGGCGAAGTCGGACAAGCGGTCTATGCACAACTTGATGGTGGTATTCGCATGGATAGGGCAGCGCATCGCCCAGTTGTCCGCATGAATAGTTTCGCCTCTGACAATGTATGATACCTGGGATACGTCCAAGGACAGTGGGCACACAATGTATGAGATGTTCTACAGAGTGTACAAGCCGGTCCGCCAGCCGTCCCTCTGGTAAACATTACTATCAACGCATTTCAAAAGAGCCGATGCGTACCAGATGGTGGTAAACATCATAAGCGCATGGAGCTGCTGGATCTCCTGATCGCATTGGTCCATCATGCGCTCAAGTGCCAGTACTCTCTCCATCGTCTCTGACGCGCGATCGGCGCAGAACTTGTATAGCGCACGCTTGTCCTTGAGCTGAACATTTGCGGGGTGGTCATTAAGAGCGCCAAGGGGACCGTCAGGTATGGTTTTTCGCCATTCGGCCTGGCGATTCGCAATGGCATTGTCCTGCGAGTTCCAGGGCTCCGTCGCCACGTAGCCAGACTCAGGCAAGGACGTGGAAGCGGAGGGTGCACGTGTTATGGGGCGTGGTGCGGAAAACACCGGAACGCTTGGCATGTGGCGTGCCTCCTGTTCTAACAATGCGGATTGGACGGGGCGAAGATGGGCAACTATGGTTCTTGCGTAGACGAGCTTCTCCTTGAGCTTTGTGACACCCGCTTGGTCCGCAGCATCTTCGAAACTGAGATCCTCCGCATCGGTTTGCAAAGCGCCCGACATCTCAAGCTAACTAATGAGATGGGATATCGTCTCAATCCGCATACGACGTACCAGTGCATCTTGCAGAACATTCAAGTGACCCTCCCACCGCGTAATATTCAGCAATGTAAATGGCACTATATCGGGTGGCTGGACTTGGATGACAGAGTGGAGAAGCTGACGGGTGGTGCTACTCATACTAGACATGATGGTAGACCGAGAAGAGCGACACGTGCATCTTACACTTGATGTTCCGGATGCATCATGGAAGAAGCAATGATCGCAGCTCTCCCCGCCCACCGCGCCGCCTCTGCCTTGACTGCATCCCTCTCCCGCTCTAACTGGTAGCGTCTCTGCATGGCGCAAACCAACGCTTCACTGACGACCTTTGTAAAGTCCGGCAGGTCTCCTTCGGTAACGGACCCGTCCTGAATACGCTTCAGAAATGCATCAAAGTCGCGGGTGTCGAGTGGGTGATGTGTATCGTGTGTCAAGGCGATGCGTTGGCTGGTTGCGCTCGTCTCCGAGTCCACTACTGACATGTTCATATCTCCTACATGCATAGCACCTGCTGAAGGTAAGCATACGCCTGCAATATAATGTGTTCATGCAGACCTTCATCGGAATCGTCTCGCTCTGAGCTATTATTCTCGCTTGAGCGGTCATCCTGATGCATGAGATCTTGACCGTCGCTTCCACTCTCCGCCAAATTGCTCTACGAAAAACTCTCAGTGAAAGATCTTTTGTAAAGATGAGCTTCCTCACTTGTATGTTGGTCGAAAGACCCCTATCGAGCGCACCGCTACATGCAGAATCACCATACAAGGCGCGTTGGTTTCCAGGGAGCCACATATCGTCGTTGGGATTCATTCCGGTGATGGTGCGTACAGAGGAACAAGTCGCCCCATTCTGCGACCCGTGTGGTCGATGCAGATGGCCGCCATGAGACTCGGAGATTACTTTGCGATGCACTCGTTATCGGAGGGTTCCGGGTGTACTGAATACGAACCGGCTCATGAGGCGCCAATGTGCTTCTACATTATGCGAGCTGACCACGGTCCTTATTGAACAGTGCAGCCAAATGCGCATGGCATTCCGACACTTCCCGGGCTATGATGAAATGCGCCTCGAGTTGCCCACATGTCCGTAAACGTATATAGCATAGCGTTTTGTTTGAAAGACATTTGGTTCGAACGAATTCTCTGAGACGGTCCGATCGCAAATGTCGCAAATACGCAGTGTCTTTACGGATACTCACAACAGTATTGCCGAAGTAGACATCGCACACAATGGACCGTGCTTGTGCAACGTGTGATGTGGGCGCCGAGTATTCTGCGTGTTGATACATGCGTCGGATAGTCATGCGATGCACCACGATGCATGCGCATGGTGTCCAGCCCTATTTATGCATGTTCCGCGCATCGACACAACTCGTCTTCGACCACCCACCCGCCCCCTTACTTGTTGCGCTTTACGGTCCATACCACTGCACTCATGAGCTCTTCCACCTTTTCAAACCAGGCTTTGAAGCGCTCGCGAAGCCCGACCCCAAGCCTTAGCCAGACTGCGCCCAAGCGGTCGCGCGGCCACCCGTACATCCCCCGATTCAATGCAGTCACATTCAAGCCATCCCCTACGTTCAGCAGCACTCTCGCGTCGTCATTGTCACCTGCGCGTACGGAGCTTGCGCATGCTCGCAGCCTCCAACAGGCCATTTCAACGTACCGTCTCGAGCTCCGCGAAATCCTGCACGATCTCGTCGACAGGCGGGAGAACCTCTACCATCACCTGCATGAGGTTGAGCAGCACGTGCTCAACACAGTCGACCCAGTACAGGACCTAAGTGTCCTCGCAGGCATCCACGATCAGGCGGCCGATCATGCTGTTGCGGCGCATCATGCGGTCAAGTTCCCGCATCTCCGTGCAGACGCCGATTCGCTACGCGCACGCGCAACGCATATGCACGATGCGCATCTGATCTTAAACGCAAGCCTGAACGCTATTCACCAGCAATGGGAAAGCTCGATGTCCGAGGCGTCAGCCTTGAAAGGCCTGCTCGCAAAGCTCGATACAGCGTTGCACGGCATCAGCGCTGAGGTGGATGCATTGGGCGGTTCATTGGAGGAGGTTGTGGACGTTTTGGACGTTGTGGACGTTTTGGACGTTGCGTAGGCGGTGGGATTCTGCATGTGTGCATTGCGCACCTTGGTAAGTTTTTCTTCTCTTCTCTGGTTCTCTTTTACGATGTCGATACGATGTGTATACGATCTCCACGCCTCGATGCACCGCGCATCACGCCTTTCATTCTTACGCTACGTTCTTTGCATTGCATGTAGTTCGTTCTGCATGTACTGCCTACGATTCTAATCCATCCCCGGCACATTGCCACATGTTCCTTGCCAGTAATGTGTATCGTCCGACATATAGCAGGTATACTGCCTAGTGACAGTGAGATACGCTTAAGCGTCGGGATGCATCAAACGATTGCGTAGACACACAGTAGGATACAATGTAGGACTCTAACCAAGTAAGCAAGGACACAAGTGCGAGACGAAGCGAGCGATCAAGGGAACGATGCGCTATAGATATGAGACGAAGCGGGCGACCATTACAGGCGCGCTTTATCGATGCGAGCCAGTGAGACCGAATCAATGAGCGCGCCATGAGGGTCTATATGAAGTAATGGGGTTGTGATACAGGGGATGTGAAGGTGGTCGGGAAGACACGGTGGCGAGGAGGAGGAGGGACGGGGAGTTGCAAGCGTAGGGATACAAAGGTGGTCGGGAAGACACGGTGGCGAGAAGGAGGAGAGGGAGGACGAGCGGAGAGGCGCGAGCGCGAGGATGTGAAGGTGGTCGGAGAGACACGGTGGCGAGGAGGAGGAGGGACGGGGAGTTGCAAGCGCAGGGATGCGAAGGTGGTCGGGAAGACACGGTGGCGAAGAGGAGGGACGGGGAGTTGCAAGCGCGAGATTGTGAAGGTGGTCGGAGAGACACGGTGGCGAGGAGGAGGGACGGGGAGTTGCAAGCGCGAGATTGCGAAGGTGGTCGGAGGGACACGGTGGCGATGAATTGTAAGCGTAAGTGTAAGTATAATAAAATGGGACGGGAAGTTGCGGCAGTGGCGAGGAGAAGGGATGGGGAGTCGCGAGCGTAAGTGTAATGAAGGTGGTCGGAGAGACACGGTGGCGAGGAGGAGGAGAAGGGAGGGAGACGCGAGCGCGAGATTGTGGAGGTGGTCGGAGAGACACGGTGGCGAGGAGGAGAAGGGATGCGAAACGCGAGAGCGCGTATGGTGTGGCGCTGGGCTGAGACGGGGAGTAGCGAGCGCGGAGATGTGAAGGTGGTCGGAGAGACACGGTGGCGAGGAGGAGGAGATGGGATGGGAAACGCGAGGACGCGTATTGCGCTTCGATAGACACGGTGGCGTGGAGATGGGATGGGGGGGACGCAAACGAGCGGAAAGGCGCTCTAGACACCCCTGACAGCAGAGATATGCGCGAGGATGCATCCGCTCATCAAGCGATGCATCCGTTCGCGCATAACTCGACTTGCCGGGGTGAGCCAGGCGCCGAGGCTTATGTCGTGAGCGAGCGTATGGCGCGGATATATCCGCGCCAGGTTTAATATGTTGAGTATTCAATTTTATTGAAATGTATTGAAGTACTCACCTTTCCTTAGGGTTACTGCGATGTGGTGGGGGACGGGAGCAAGGAGACGACGCGACTTGTCGCGCATCGCCTGGCTCGGACGAAGTCATGCGCCCAACCACGCGATTTGCCTCGTGGTTGAGCGCATGAAGCGCCCTGGCTTGCGTGCTGGCAAGTCTTGCGCTCGACCACCACCTTCTTCGCCCGCCCGTCCTCGCTTCCCGCTCCCTCCCGCCCTACGACTCGCGATGGCCCGAACAAAGGCGGACGGACCGAAGATGGCCCCGCAAACCGCCTACGACTTTGCGAAGTCGGTTTGCAGCGCGCTACCCCCGAAGAACTCGGTCGACCGCGCCGTCGTCAAGCAGGCCGTGGATAAGCTGGCCATTGCACTGGTACGTGCTCATCAGCGGGGTTTTTTACGCATCTTACTGACTCATTTTGAATTGCAGGCTCGCATGAAAGAGGAATGCGACCTCCATGACACCGACGTCGCCGCCGAGTTCAACAAAGTGGTCCAGTACCACAGAGGGTATGGCGCCATCTTGGCGAAGCTGCCTACCGCTCCCGCGCCCAAGCGCTCCGCGCCCGAGAGCCCGCCCCAGCCCAATCCGCCCAAGCGCCACCAATCCGTCTCGGTGAAGGACCCGTCGCGTCTGAAGGCCTCACGCAACATTGCGGACGACGAGTCCGATGCGGAGAACGCTGCAGGCGAGGCTGCCAGGTCGGAGGGGGGTGACGTGCTGGATATCGAGAGCGAAGACGATGACGCCAATGACAAGGTGCGTCGTCTTTCAATTCGTTTTTTTACATCGCGTTTTACATTGTTTGCTTACTTTTATTTTGATAGACATATGGCCAGCGCACGACGCGCAATACCGCGAGGAACGCTTCCGCGAAGGTCAAGGTCTCGCCCGCTCCCGCCACCAAGAAGGTCGCTCAGGCCAAAGCGAGCGTAACAGCGCCGCGCAAGTCCGCGGCCAACGCAACACCTTCGATCGCGAAGAAGGTTGAGGTCACGATGTCCGCGCCTGCTACCCGTGGCAGCGCGCCCCCTACCGCCACGAAACCGCGTATGGCCGCTCAAGCGTCGAATACGCGCAGCGCCTCGGTCGCCCCGCAGCAGCAACGCAAGCCCCGTTTGCAAGGGCTCCGCTACCGTCTCAAGGACGGTGAACCGCTTGCGAAGCTCGGCGCGCACTACAACGAGCTGCAGGAGGGCGAGCCGTTATGGTACGCATTCGGCACTACACCGCAAGAGGTCCTGTCGGAAGTTCTTCGCATCTCGAAGGGCTTTGGCGGTGAAGGGTCCGTCGTAACGTATGATAACTCGGTAGTAAGTCCGTTTTTGCGCTTCGATGCGTAGTATCTTGCTTACCGTATTTTCCAGACCGCCGTCGGTTCCGAGTTCTCCCTACCGTGCACGTCCGACATCTTGGTCGGTCTCCAATGCATCCGTGCCCAGCAATCGGGCGCTCACCCCAAGTGCGTCAACTGCACCGGCGACCGTTGCGTTAGGGTCAAATGGGTCAACAACGTCGTCAAGAACGTCGATTCGCCCGACAAGGCGAGTATGGGCATCACCAACCAGGAGGTCGACGTCGCCATCGCGCTTGCGAATCAGCGGGGTATGTTCGCGCAAGCAGTCCTGTTGCGTGCGGAGTACAACCGGCCCGACACTGAAGACGCTGAGATGGACCTGGGCCAGACTTCGGTCGAGGAGGTCCACGACGCGCTCTCAAAGGATGCATCGGACGGTGAACCTATGTTCGAAGACGAGGTTGATGCGCGCCGCGCGCCCGCGACGGTGAAGGGCGTTGAGGAGGATGAGGAGATGTTCGAGAATGAGACCCCCGCCACAGCCGCACTCCGCCACATCGCGGACAACCTCGGCTCCGCCGAGGAGCTCCTCTCGACGTACCCGCGCTTCAAGGCATCCGCCAACGAGGTACCGACATTGGACACGATCGTCAAGGAGATCGACAAGCGCATCAGCCAGGCCACTCACGAGCTCGGTGAGCTCAACGCCGTGACCTTTTGTCTCGACGCGGACGCAGAGCTCATCGCGCGCGATGGGAAGCGTCATCAAGAGATGTTCGAGAAGCGTAACTTTACGCATCACGAGGCGCAGGCCAATGCCAAACTCGAGCAGTCCGCCTACCTCGTCTCACTCAGCGACCGGATCCGAGATACGGCCTCATCTCTCTCCGAATTGCACGAGTGGATGCGAGATGAGGCCCGCTCTTTACGAGAAGAGACCAAGAACGTGCGCGAGGCGGCGCGGGTAGTGGGCAAGGCGATTGAGAGCATTGGCGAGTTGCGGGAGGAGCTGGCGAACGTGCAGGAGGAGTAGGAGCGATGCGCTCGGCGATGCGCATCTCGTTCAGGTAAGTCGTTTCTTTTTTACATTCATCTTGCAGCGG